GCATTTTTCGAGGGGAGAGTGAGCGGAAGGTGTCAGATAATGTGAGCTGGAGACAACAGAGGCTGGAAGTATCAAATACTTCAACTCCGTCAGCGGTAGAAACTATTCGGACTGAAGCATTTTTCGACTCTTCTACCGGACAAATAATATTGTGAGCGTGCAGCTTCCTCCCGCACTCGCTATTCCCTCACCCCCCTGACTACCTCCATGCACTAGCAAGACGGCGCCGCCTGGGAGCACCGATGACGAACCTGGTTTCCCGTATGCAACCCTGGTCAACTTGACCGGATGTCCCTCCAGACCAGCGTCGTTCGCCTGCCTACAGAACCTTCCGTTTGGAGCGAGCACCAGTGATAATGTAAATCGAGCGTGGCTAATGCTGTATTCAGACCCTCAACAACATCTCAGTTGCCATGACTAACGAAGTACTGAACGATCAGCTGTCACGGTGGCAACCAACAGTAGGCCGCTGGGCAACTGTTCCTCTGACTCAGACTCCTCTTGCTGGCTAGAAACTGCAGCTCGTTTGTCATATACAGCTAGTTCTCTCGTCGGCCTTCATATCCAAGTCGAGTTCCGTTCCCTATGAGTTGATTTTTGATCTATCCGTCGGCAAGCTCTTTGTCGGTTCGCAGCTCAGATATGGCGTATTATGGGGTAGTAGGTCATTTAAATTCAAGGACAGGGATGAGTATGCAATAGTCTCATCAGCCCTTATTGTACCTCCTCGCGGCCACGATGCGTTTGGCCTATCCGAGAGCCATGGCCTGCCGTCAGACGCACACTCGGACATGCCGGAGATCTCACGTGCTAACTTTTGACCGGCGGTCATGACCGGGTCACACAGTGACCGGTCATCCGTCGTCTAAAAGTCATGACCGTTGACTTGACCCGTAACAACGCTGTCGGCCACAGCAGGAGCGGAAGATTCCGAGGGGGCGTAACCTGAAACTGGTTGGGGCGACAGCAAGACATGACTGTATCCGATGTCTATGTCGGATTTGGAGTGGAACGTTGGTGGCTGAGTGGAAGGGGTGGTGTAGATAGAGTCTTGTAGATCCCCATCAACGGCAGAACGACAGCGTGGGGACATCGTAGAGTGGTTTGAGGGCCACACTAATGCAGCTGGAAGACTGTCCGTGGCGACAGCAGAGACATCGTTGGACGACGAGTGGTTCGAACTGAATCCTGGGGTCCGTGCGACCGTGGTAGGAAAGAGCAGGGCCGTAGTCGAAGTCGGCGCCTTCGCGGAGATGTCGGCGGCTCTCGTTGGGGTGCTCTGGGACGCCTGTGTGTCGCTATACGAAGTCTGCCTGCCATTTGATAAGGGGAACGGGTCTATGTCTAAGGAGATGTTCAGCCCATGAACATATCCTGATGGTAAGACACACAAACCATCTTGTGATCTCTGTTTGCGTCGCCTCCACAAGGAGAACAAAGCCACAAGTAATGTTAACAGTATCACGCCTCCAACCGCTCCAACCACAGTGGCAAGATAATCTGGGTGTCCACGAGTACGGCCCGCGCCAGCTGCAGTCGAGGTTGAACCATTGGTTGTAGTAGCATCAGTCGCTGCCATGGTGAGGCTCCCTTGGCTCAGTGTGCTCGACAACGGCGGTGACGACGCAGTGACCACTGCCGTCGAGGCCAATGTAGTTGCGAAAGTGGAGACCCTCGTAGTTGCAACAGTGACGACTGAGTTGACCGGAGAGATTGACGTATCAGGTGTCGATGTTGGTGTTGATACTGATGTTGATGTTGACGTCGGTACCGATGTCGGTGGAGGAGCAGACGTAGGAGGATTGTTAGGAGAAGCCTGATCAACGTCCACAAGAAAATAGTCTAGCCAAAAGACGTTTGGGCTTGTGCCATTGGTGTTCGTAACGACTACTTCATGAGTTTCAGGAGAGAGATCACGTTTCGAGAAGAACGTCGTGTTCCAGCCCGTGTGCAAGTCCGGCGTGAATGGCGCTGTGTAGGTGCCTACGGTCTCCCCGTCGATGGCGTAAGACGTTGTGGGCTGGCCGTATTTGTCAGAGCGCTCCAGAGTCCCCACAACTTGAATCCCGGTGCCTGATAAACATACGAGACTCAATTAGTGGACGCCCAATCTACCAAGATCCAAACTCACCTGTGAAGCTGAAGATGGCATTCATGCCTGCGACACCAGCACCCTGTCTTACGTGGCCCGGCCAGTCGGGGCCTGCCGTCTCCATGTGGTCCCATTTAGTCGGATATTGTACCGCAGGTTCTGTGTCCACAACGAGGAACTGGGATGTCATGGGGAGACAGGGATATCGTAGCAGTAGGAGCTAGTGAGGAAAGGCCCTAGTCACGCAGTGTTTTAGAGGAGGTCTGCATGAAATAAAAAGGTTTGGGTTAGAAGGAACAGAAGGAAGGGGCATCACTACGACTTCATGCCCGGCCTAGGGTAGTACTACGTACCCGCGGTCGAGAAAGTGATCGGGGGCGCTCTATGGCCGATCTCGGGTATGTTTGGACTGTGCCCTGACCATGCTCTCACCACTTGACAGAGAAGTAGGGCACAGAAGTAAGAGGATTGGCAGATCATCTGGGCCTTTGCATACTTCAGATCACACGGATGGTTCGGTAGGCGTCGATGGGAGTACTATGACCCCAGGCAGCCTGAACGAAGTCTTGCATAATGCGGGAAAAGCATGCCAGTATGTCGACAACTTCTAGCTCAACCGACAAGATCGACCGATAAGGCGCAGACTCGAGAAGATGAGTGGGAGAGGACGACCAGCCTGTTTGCATCGCACTAAAACAAGCGCCAGGCGATGATGCCTGGGATTCACAAAGATGTACTTGACCCCAGGACCCCATAAGTCGGCAGCGGTGACTCCTCCTGATGGCTCAAGCTTTCTCTCTGTTTCAGCTTCCAGATTTCTCGCTTTAGTGATCTTTACAATGCCTGAAGTCATGACATGCAATTGGTAGGGAAATTATAGACTCTCTCACGCTTGAAAGCTTGACCCCCGGTGGCATCAGTCCATCGCCCATCTCCCTGCCAGTGGCGCCCGTTATTCTCGATCTCTACTGGAGCCCACTGCCGGTGGCCACCGAAGGCTACTGACCCCCTCCTCTTCTAGGGAACAGCGATATCCATCGTTGCGGTGAAGATCCTCGGGGGACTCATTTGTCCAGGAGTCACGCCCCGCTGGTTCGTTGAATGTCATCCTAAATTACTTTCTTCGGGCGCTGACGGTCCGTCCAGTGCACTGGCAACGACCGGTCCCACAGCGGTTGCAAGGAGATGATACCGAACGTACTAACAATATCCTGCCTCCCCTTGCAACTTCGAATGCTGCCAAGAGCATGACAGCACGCCGACGTCGCCCTAGACTCTGTCGTTGTTGATCGGACCTGTTTCGAAATAGTGCCGGATTTTCTAAGCAGGGGTATACTATGCAGCGTATTCATGGTCACTGCTTCGGGATCAGGTCTACCAATCGTGTATCTCTTATATCGAATCACGAAAAGCTCAACTTACCACCCACAGATACACATCCCAAGGAACATGCAATGTCGCTCTTCGCACCCGCCCCCGAGCCCGCTACTAGTGAATGTTCCTCCCTCGTCCGTGGGCCTCGTGCATCCACGTCTCATATTTCTCCCTTGATGGTGGTGGAGTATCAGATGTAAGTGTGCTATCAACGAGATGGGAGCTCTGGACAAGAGATTCTCTTTTCACCTCCTGTTTCTCTTGCCTCAGGTGGAAATACCACCGCCAGAGTCGCGAGTTACTACTTAGATAGCGAGATGGCGTCTATAACACCGATTCATCGTCGATGTTTTCGCATAGCCAAGGTGGCAATTCCGATGAGTTCAGAGGAGAATGGGCGGTATTGCACTGCATCCATAGTCGACTCATGCTGGGCCCTGGTTACGAAGGCGTGTGACTCACCTAGGACAGCCCAAAGTAACGGACCCCCGTTACTGAGCTTTACATGTTCAGTATGGGCCTTAAGTAGCCCAGGGTCGATACATAAGTCCATTGATAAGAAGGTCGATTTCTTAGGCAGTGGTGTCAAGTCTCTTGCTCGCTATCGAAGCCAGTTTGATGATACCCCCCACGACTTACATTCATATCCTTATCGCCATACTCTATAGGCGTCGAAGAGCTCATGGATGGCCTTCGCAACCTTGTCGTGTTCGGTAAGATCCTCTACCTCGTATGTGCACTCCGTCGACTTTCTGATCGTATAAGCAACTGCATTTGCTCATGTACGTGGGGTACACCTGCATGGTCATTGATTCAGGCGAACGAACATATGATGATGCGACTCATCATCGATTGAGTGTGGCCCAGACTCGTCACGTCGAGCGCCAAATCGCGGAGATGTCTCGGACAAACTATATTGTCGACCTGCTCGTGAACGGGTCCTGGGTGTACCACAAACCACTGTATCCTCTCTCACTGGCATCCTGCCTTGTGCACCAGCCGTCTTGACCTACGGTTACTTCGGCTATCTCTCTGGCTTACTACTCTGTTATGTGTATTTGGAGGGTTGTTCGCGACACTGGTCCCACGCCGAGATTGCCTTCCGAGGGAATAGGCCGGACGCAGCCTGAAGCGTGTACAATTCGCGGCCTCTTAGCTACCTCTTGTCATCTCGATCGAGCCCAGTGCCATCTGTCGGGTGGAGACCCGTAGTCGTCCTCACCTTCCTCATATTCTGCTTCTTGGTCATCCCAGCCGCCTACGTGCTACATTCAAGCACTTTAAGCCGACCTTGGCCAACATGTCCCCGTCTACCCAAGCTATCAGTCTCGTCATTCCATCGACTATCTATTCCTCTGGCAGCCAGGTGGAAGGGGAAGTATTGGTGGACTTTCGACAGTCAACACAGGACAAGATTCAGGAGGTCCATGTCAAACTCAGGGGCTTCGCTCAAACGTACGTCCTGCATATTTGTTACTGGGGCTTGCCTTTGGTTCGGAAGTCCAACGGTGACTCCTATCGTATGTAGGATGATCACACGCGATAAGACGACCCTCCGAGAGGTACACCCTCTCGTCTTCAGCAACCTTTCCCTCTGGTCGCACGGCGGCGAATATCCAGCACCGGGCTCGGATATCCTCCGTCTCCCGTTTCGCTTCCGGCTCCCCGATATGCTTCCTCCATCATTTCAGTACTCAGGATTTCAAAAGTCTGCGTCTGTGCTATACTCGGTCACCGTGGTCGGAGTGCGTTCAGGGACGTTCCAAATGAACCGCCGGATACGTGTTCCGCTGGTAGTTCTCCCGAGGGACGTTCATGGGATGCAGGTGCGACAAGCGATACCGTCTTCTGGATTCAGGACTGTGTATGTAGAGGAGAAGATCAGAAGAGGGCTCTGGGGAGATTATGCGACTGCTAGAGTGGAGGTGCGTGTGCCTTGATCTCTGATACGTGGTTCCTAGTTCGTTCAGGCTGAATGCTCTGGAAACAACAGTTCTCTCTGCCGGATATTCAAGAGCTACCTCTTTTCTGTGACATCCCTTACCAAGTGAAGATCATCACAACTACAGCCCCGCTCACAGCAGCGAAAGCAGCCGCTCAGCCCGAGGACAAACCGATCTTTCCTTCCCCACCCTCCAATCCCACCGACAATAACCTCAAGCTATGTGGCCGTATCTTGCTTCGTGCGAGACAGTTCACCGCGATGGCGGACTCGGACATCACGTATATCCTGGGCGAGGGGACGAACGCATCCAAGACGAAGGTAACGGTAGAGACGTATGAAAGGGTATGGACCCCGCTTAGGACTCGGGAGGAGAAGAAGGAGGCGGGCGGTCCAGAAGAGAGGGGTGTCTGGGTGCAGAAGATCAAGTTCTCCGCAAAAATGCGACTCACTGTCCCACCCTCGTTTGTTTCTCGCCTCATACACAGCGAGGTGAATCTGGATATGTTCCGGGTTGGTCGTGCATGCTAATGATACACTTTCCAGCATTACCTGTGTCTACAGGTACCATTCCCTGGACTTGGCAACAACTTAAAGCTCCGAGTGCCCATGTCTATCACGTCGGGGATTGACGCGCCGATGTCGCTCGATCAACCAGGCGCAACACACACCGACGGGGATACGCCGCCCCCACCACCTTTGCTTGACCTTCCGCCGTACGTCATTGGTTACTTCGATCGGCAACGCCGGTCATCTCACTTCCGCCATTGCAGATCCTACTGGGACGTCAACGATCGTGATTGGGGCAATCTGGATGAGAAGGAATGATGGCTAGCGTATGCTTTTTCTGAGTTCGTGCTCGTTCCTACTGCGGCAGACTGTGTGTAATGTCTTCTCTCGTATGATGCTTTGTATCAACAGTTCGATATTCTTTCGTTCCAGGACTGCGCCCAAAGCGAAGCCTTCTGTAGTACAATTGAATGCCGCAAATGAGTGGTAACACTGTTGCCCAGCCACGTTCCACGGCATCCTGGTCCAAAGGCCCCTTCTGGCTCCGCTTGGACTCCCAACCTTCCTTGTCGGGGACGGCGAGATTGTCCCAGGCCCGGCATGCCACCCATCGACATCCTGAGAGGATTGCTAGGTCCTTCTCTCTATTCTGCGCAGCACACCCGCCAGCGTGACCTGCCTTGTGTGGTTCGTTTTCAACAAGCGCAGCATGCGCAGGTGGGTACGCATGTGGGATGATGTTTTTCTGTATTGCGCAGTTGACTAGCATTCACTGTCCTTGCACGTCGGCGACGAAGGCGTTTCGGATCAGGCTGAATAATCATAATCGCTCCATCCGATAAGTCCCGGAAGGTAGCAGGTTTGTATATCTACGCACGAGCGTTATAGATACAGTGAAATCCTCTGACGAGTCATGTTCTCAAACACCAGCCCTCCTGAGGCCTTCGCAGTTCACATCCCGCCGGCGATATATACCGCAGGCAGTCCAATTGAAGGGGAAGTTGAGATTTACCTCCGTCAACTGCGAGAAAACAACATCGGGAAGGTCCTGGTCAAACTTTGCGGAACATCCTACACGTACGTCTATTTATTTTTGTAGTATGTGCGTCCCTAGTTGCATTGAAATGCGTAATGCCAAATACTCAGGTGGATTGCTTTGGATCAGAACACGGTTACAGAGACGATCAAGCTTATTCATGAAGATGCGCCCGTATGGTCTCTAGGTGGCGCATCCCTTCAGTCGGATACAGACGTCGTCCGGGTTCCTTTCCGCTTCACGCTGCCGGAACAACTGCCTCCGTCCTTCAGTTACAAATCGCTGACGGCTCGTCTGAAGTTTGAACACACACATTCGATACTCGATTACTGCGGTTGGCGTGCGCAATAGACAACTCAACAAGCGTCATCAGGTCCCGCTCCCGATACTGCCGAGAGACGAGTTGGGTACGTCTGTAAGGAAAGAAAGCGCTGCTCAGGGATGGAAGACGTTCGTGAAAGAGGATATGATCCGTAAGGGCCTTTGGGGAGAATACTCAAGAGTGCACGTCGAGGTCCGTTGACCTATCCCACCTTCGACACTAGTACCGCACTCATGTGGTCGATTTCAGCTCGCCCTCCCGGATATACCAGTTCTGCCCCTCTTCTCGGATATACCTTACTCTATCACTGTAACGACCTCTACCCCGCCGCTCTCTCGTGCCCATGCCAGTGAACATAGCAGCAAGCCAGTTTTCCCGCCAGTTCCACGCAAGGCCCAAGAGATTGATTTCGTCCTGCATTGCTTCCTGAAGCTGCGTGCTCGGCTGTCCACTGGGAAAGCAAACAATGACGTTATGACTATTCTCGGCGACAAGAAGGAAGAAACGAATCAAGTAGCCGTCGAATCCGACATCCCCGACAAGAACTGGGTGCCGCTAGCAAGTGTACCGGCTGATGACAAGCACGAAAAGGAGAAGGAGGCGTCCGAACACGGCGAGGAGAAAGGCTCGTGGGTCCAGCGAGCCACGTATCAGTCGACGTTCCGGCTGAACTGCCCGCCGTCCTCTGTAGTGGCCAACATCGAGTGTAGCGTATGTGCTCTACTTTACCTCTCGAGCACTTCGTTGCCTGACCCGTAGGCATAGTACTCGCTTATCGTCAAAGTACCCTTCCCAGGGATCGGAAACTCTCTGAAGCCGGAGGTTCCTGCGACCATAACCTCCGGCATCGCCGACCCGCTCCCCCAGGAGCAGTCTAACTCGAACGACGATCTTGATTTACTGGACCTTCCGCCGTCAGGTTCAGTATCCTCATGATTCGTGATTGCTTGTCGCACCTTCCGGATACCTTGACATCGAGCGTACTGGGATACCAGCTGGCAGCAACCGAGAATGGGAGATAGACGAGAAGGAATCAGAGTAATTGTACGCGCGTGCTGCTTCAAGCATCCAATCCAAAAGCCTTGAGGCATCGTCCGACAGGTTACGCACGCGACGTCAAAGAGTATGGCTGAGGTTGTGTACGCATCTTGCTTTCGGCTTGGACCGCCTTGGGGGCGGTCGAAACGTAGCCTGCTTTTGAACGATTGGTGAACCAAAGGGCGGTTGTAGTGACGGGTCGTTAACAAGCATAGGGCGCCTACAGACGCGCTGCTCTTATTCTCGCCCGTCATCGTGCACAGTTCCCCCACCACTCCCCATCCCGCTCCCTCTTTCTTGTTATCGGGATGCCAAGTGATTTAGACAAGTTCGTCCCCGTCGTCTGCAAGCCCATCCCGTTCCACTCAGTCCTTGACGCGCGTCAGACAAATCGAGCAGCTCCTCCGCTGCGAGCCCATCTCCGAAGAACAAGTCAAACGGCTCTGTCTCAAGGCGCGCGAAATTCTCATTGAGGAGGCAAATGTGCAGGTGGTCGACTCCCCAGTCACAGTGAGTAGCCCCCAAACTGGTCGTGTGCCAGGACGAACGCGGAGAATGACATAGGGTTCGAGATATGCGGGGACATACACGGGCAGTTCTGGGATATGATGGAGCTCTTCAAAGTCGGCGGACCGTGCCCGGAGACAAATTATCTCTTCATGGGTACGTCTCTATTGCATAGTGCGCGTTTCTATGCTAATCAGCGCCCCAGGCGACTTCGTCGACCGCGGCTTCTACAGCGTCGAGACTTTCCTCCTTCTTCTCGCCCTAAAAGTCCGCTATCCTGAACGCATGACCCTAATACGTGGTAACCATGAATCGCGACAAATCACGCAAGTGTACGGCTTCTACGACGAGTGCCAGAGGAAATACGGGAGCAGCAATGTATGGAGGTGGTGCTGTGAGATATTCGACTACCTCGCGCTAGGAGCTATCGTGGATGGGAGGGTTTTCTGTGTACATGGAGGGCTCAGTCCAAGCCTGCAAAGCATCGACCAGGTACGATATGTGTTACGTTATCTGTCTACCATCATTGCCTCAAGTTGTATGGGCAGATACGCACGATCGACCGGAAGCAGGAGGTGCCACATGATGGTGCAATGTGCGACCTATTATGGTCAGACCCTGACGGTGCGCGCTGTGTTTCCCTCTTCCCGTGCCCGTCCCCGTCCCTGCATACTTGTATCTGCATCTCGCTAGACTCTGCGGGGCCCTGATCGAGTCAGGGCTGAATGTTGCTCGTGTAGATATCATCGGGTGGGGACTCTCCCCTCGTGGGGCCGGGTTCCTGTTCGGTGCCGACATTACCAAAATGTTCGCACATCGCAACGGCATCGACCTCATTGCGCGAGCGCACCAGCTTGCGATGGAGGGATACAAGCTCATGTTTGACAAGACGATCGTCACCGTCTGGAGTGCGCCAAATTACTGCTATCGGTACGTGAACCTCTATCCTATCTGACATGTGGCCACTGAAGTAGCGTCATCTTCGCGCACAGGTGCGGCAATGTCGCCTCTATACTCGAGCTCGACGAGTATCTCGGGCAAGAGTACAAGGTCTTTTCACACGCGCCCTCGGTATGTCCTGCTTGGTCTGTCGGAATTTCCGTCTCTGTCTCAAACCAAGCAAATCTTGGGTAATTCCCACAGGATGTTCGATCGATACCTGCGAAACGTCCTCCGGCTGACTACTTCCTATGACCTATGACATACGACCACGCGGTCTGCTCTCCAGAATCTCCAGAGGATCGATAGAGGAAGCCCGACGTTGTTTGTGCCTGTTATAGTTGCTGTTCTTCCTTGTTCGCTGGTGCTGTTGTACTTTGTTGTAGCCCTATCCGATCGCGCGACTCTCACGTCCTGTTGTGGAGTTCTTTCACCCCGAAGATCGTGCCTTGGTGGACCCGATTTCCTCGAGGAAGGTGATGTCTGGCATGTGCCGGCTGCGGCTCCGCCACATTTACCTGCTACAACATGCTACCTCTCGAGACGACCTTCATCGATAACCGCTTATACCAGGCGCCTACCTCCTGAGGGCTGCTTGTCGGAGTGGTCCTCGGGCGTTTGAAGGGCCCTGCTCGGATTGTAAGCTCCAGATGGGCCTATCAGCAATTTCTACTAATTAGGCTAACTGCTAACATAGAATGGCGCAGTTGTCGTCTATTCGTAACCAGAGGGCGCCCCCATATTGCGCCGCGTGACGATGAGTTCGGGCTGAGACGGCAGTCACCGACTTGTCTCTCGAACTCTTGGCCAACCTCGTCACAACATTCCTATCCTGCGCGCCCGGCTCCGAGGTTAAAAACAACTCAGGGGACTTCTTTCCCGCCACAATGCTCCCGTTGAGGTGGGAGTTCAATCAGTGTCCTTGTATCTATCTTCATCTGGAAAGTATTGGGTCAATGAACAAGTCTGATCTGTTGTCTATGTGTACCCAGTCTCTTGAGTCCACACCATTGCAGCTTAGCTGAATGTGAGCCTCCAAACCTTACCCTGATTCGGAGACATGGAACCGCCTCGACTGCCACTGCCCCTTTCTTTCTTTCTTTCTCGATGCCGTTCGTTGCCCCGCGAGGCCACGCCTCAAGGTAGGCCTTGAGTACATGTTGGAACTGCTTGATGGATGTAAATGATTGCTGGACAGACGCACACTGCCCTTTATCCTCCAACCTTGCATTCTCAGGTGATTTGAGCAGCGGCAGACCGTCCTCCACCCTTTGCGGCTTGTTGTACTGTGTTGTAAGTAGCAAGTCACTCGCTGGCAATCCGATGTATATGAGCAACGCGATAGTATACGGTCTAGATGGTATTGCTAGTGTGAATACAACGTGTACGTACATCCTTCTCATCCGGACGCAGGGAACGAGGCTGAGATGCGATCTAACGATCAACGGTGAAGAGGAAGGAAGCTATTGCTATGTGCTACGAAAACAGATGCTGCTGCTACAAAGTTCGTGTCGGATGCTGCTCGTCATACAGTCGTCACAGATACACAAACGGCCAGGGTCATCCACGGCCGCAGCGATGGGACAGGCATCTATACGCCCTTCGTCTTGCTCGTTGTCTTGCTGAACAGCTTCGCCTTCTCGAGCGCAGCGTGACCTATGAAAACGCAGAGCGAAACATGATCAGCATGCCGCGGGCGAGGTGGGTAGAAGGCCAAACGGAAGGTGTGGCGGTCGACGTACTGTTCTTCACGAGCATATTCTTGTAATCGACGATCGTGATGTCCTCCTTCGTCAAATTCTTGATCTTCCTGTCCTTCACTTCCCACAGCTCTTCGGCGACTTGAGAAATGAGCCCTGTATGCAAGAAGCAGGCGAACGCGAAACGCCAAACACACACGTTAGCCAGCCGTCCCTATCTCATGAGTAGGGTATTCAGACGTAAAGCGAAAGCGGCGGCCGGATCGAGCCATCGGGAGAAGCAGAAGCAGAAGTGACAGTAGAAGCCTGGCCTCGTAGCCTGGCTATATACCGTAGGAGCTCGCGGAACTCGTAAAATTTGTCCAGCGCCGCACAGGCATGCGGGCAGCAGAGGCCGCGGCCGCGACCGCGGGGGGTTCTTTGACAGATGAGACAAAGGAATGGAAGGAAAGAACGTACGGAAGTCATGTGAAACGATGACAACACCGCCCTCGTACTCCTTAATGGCCCGCGCTAACGCGTCAATCGAAGCCATGTCCAAGTGGTTCGTCGGCTCGTCAAGCAGGAGGATGTGCGGGTGCTCCATCGCAAGCTGCGCGAACACGACCCTACATGCACAAACGCGCCAGGTCAGCCGAACCGCCTCCAACAACGTGCTCAACTCGAGTGGGGCATCACAAACGCCAACGTACCGGTTCCGCAAACCGTCCGAAAGTTGCTTGATCGCCGAGGTCTGGTGCGACCCTGAGAGACCAAACCGCCCAAGCTGAGCACGCCACGCCTGCATGTCCTTGTCAGGAAACTTTTCGTGATAGAGCGATTGGAGGTGCTCGATAGGGCTCTTCTCGTACGGGAGTTGGTCGGCTGAATGCTGTGAGTACTTGGCGAGCTTGAGGCCGACGTGCCGCGAGATCGTGCCCTCGGTCGGCTGCAGCGCGCCCGTGATGAGGTTCAGCAGGGTCGACTTGCCCGTACCGTTCTGGCCGACAATGGCGATGCGCGAGTCCATGCTGAGAGTAAGAAAGTCAGCGTCTCACCCACATGCGGCGGACGGATAGTGTTCGTGAAGAGACGTACTCGATACCGAACGAGAGGTTCTTGTACAGATAGTCCTCGGGCTTGCCAGAGTAGGAGAACGCGACGTCGTTGAACGCAAGGATGGGCGGAGGCAGCTTCGAGACGTCCTCGAAGTTGAACCGGAGCGGCTTCGGGATCTCAATCTTCTCTACCAAGCCCGCCGCCTCCATCTTGTCGATGATCTTCTGCTTCGACTTCGCCTGCTTGACGAGATTCGCGTACGTTCCCGCGGACGCGATGAACCTAAGATCACAAGGTCAGCTCGGATCTCAACTCAGCCAGCCAGGAACGCGCTGGGCAGGGCCTAGCCGACGTCAAACGAAAGGAACAGGAAAGGAAAACGTACTTCTTGATGTGCGCGATCTCCTCCTGCTGCTTGTTGTACGCCTTCATCTGGTTCACCTCGTTCTCCTGCTTCGTCCGCACGTACGTCGAGTAGTTACCGCCGTAGTACACGAGCTTCTTCTTGGTCGTGAGGTCCATGATGTTCGTGCACACGGTGTCCATGAAGTCCTGCGAGTGCGAGGTGATGACGAGGATGTGGTTGTACATCGACAGGTATGCCTCAAGCCACACCACCGCCTCCAGATCCAAGTGATTCGTCGGCTCGTCCAGCAGCAGCAGGTGCGGCTTGACGAACAGCGCACGCGCGAGCGCGACACGCATCCTCCAACCGCCAGACATGTCCTTCGTCGGCTTCGCCATCATCTGCTGCGAGAATCCAAGACCGTGAAGGATGGAACCGGCCTTGGCCTCGAATGTGGAGGGATCCATCTCCTCGAGCTCCTCGTACAGATGGTCGAGCTGGACTTCGTCGATGTCGTCCGCGACGGAGAGCTCCTCGATGCGTTGCTCGAGCTTTGCGACCTTGTCCTTCGCCGACTGGACGATGTAATCGACCGCGTTCACCTCCGAAGGCTCTGCCTCGCCACGGACGAGGTAGATGTCAATGTGTTCGGGGATCTCGATGTCACGGTCAGCGATGGATTGTAGGAATGTCGACTGCAGACCCGATGTTGATATGCAAGGGCAGAGGGGACCAGCGGTAAGATGAGCATCATCAGGATACGGGTACGTGAATGTACAAGCCGTGCGCACGCACCTTGCCGGATCCGTTCTCGCCCAAAAGCCCATACCGTTGCCCATAGTTCAGAGAGACCTCCGCACCCTCGATGAGCAAGCGTCCGTGGAAGGACAGCGTGTACGAATCGATTTTGATATCGCGGCCCTTGGGGTCCGATACGAGCACTCCTGCAGCACTCCTACATGTCCCTATGAGGTCAGCGCACACTGATCTCCCTCGGGCCTCGCCCACGAGAGCACGCACCGATCAGTTGCAATCTGCAGCTTCGCCATCGCACTCAGGTCCTCTTGGCTCGTCGCAGCAGACATGCTCGTGAGTGGGGTGTTGACCGAACTACCGCCATTGACGGAACCGGTGGGGGTCGAGGTGCTGGTGGACGCGTCGGTGCCCTTTACTTTTGCGGACTGCTTCGCCGCCTTCTCGGCGAGTCGCTTCTGTTTTGAAGCTGATGGGGCCATTGTGCTCTATAGTCGTGATCAGGGAAGAGAAAGGAAGAAGTGGGAAGAGGGCAGTAGAGGAGAGGCCGTGCCCAAGTATCGATCTGGTGTGGCGCATAAATTTCCGCTTAGATCACCAATCTCACCTTCCATATATGGCAGTCATCCAAGTTCACCGCTTATACCATTCTCCCTCGCCACCCCAGGAACATACCCGCACCAAGGACATACATTCTCGACATCCGAATCACTGGCGGTAGCAATTGTTCAACAATACTCAATCTTCGTCGACAAGACGATTTGCAAAAGACATTTGACAATCACCTCGTTCCCAAACCCAAACCGGGAACGCCGACGGATGTGTATTATAATCAACGATGATGCTCTACGATGAGGAGAGGTACCAAGAAAGTACGCGATACACGGGGCACAGGCAGCAGTAGATACGATATGGACGCTCCAGACGAGGACCGAAACCGGAGGGGGGGATATATACAAGACACTGGTATGTACGAGTCCGAGCGGGACACAGAGCCGAACCAGAACCTGGCAGCAGTAGCAGGGCGATACACTAGCGAGCGGAAGCAGTACGATAGTAGAGAGCCAGGGGCGGAGGAGAGTCGAGGAGGCGAGTCATGACGGGACACGGAGACCGGGAGATTACTATAGAACATGATGTACGTGGATACTTATGGAGATGGTCGATGATATCAAACATGGCATGAGGACAGTGGGTGGACGCCTGTACAACGAACAGATATAAATATCCCGCACACGGGCGGCGGCGCACGCGCGTGCCCGGGCAGGAACTCAGAGTACTATAGTACTTAGTAGACAGCAACGTGACGGATGGGGGAAGTGCATGGTGTGGTGGAGATAATAGCGTGGTGGGTCGACTATATGAAGAGTATATGCGAGAGATGTGCAAGTACGATGATTTTGGACATGGACAGCATTGAGCGACGGTGGAGAGATATGAACGGCGGCACGGAACGTGAGGCTCGAGTATGAAAGGCGGAGTGATGATGATGAACGGATCGATACAGCCAGAACCACATGCAAAAGAATATACGGATGACAACGAAAGCGGAAGCGAAAGTCGGGCACCGACGAGGGTACACCAGACGGGAGAGCAGAACGCGCGACAGGTCTCGTCGCCCGCCCAAGAGCGAGGCGCACCGACAGCTCACAGCCCATCGCTCACTGCACGAGCCTCCCGCGATAGTCGTCCACGCTCCTCCACACAGGGTGGTGCGGGACATGGTGATGCCCGTGCCCGTGTCCGTGATGGGTATGACCCGCCATCATCGCGCCCGGCGCAGCGGGCTGAGGCTGGATGTACTGATGGCTCGCGTGCGCGGGCAGCGCCGCGCGCTGCGGTTGCGGCTGATGGAGCTCCAAGTACTGATCCGCTGCGGGATCGACCTCGGCCCCTTCCGGCGAGGGCTCCCTCTGCCCGTGGGGGTGCGTGGGCACGGCATGATAGTAGTACTCCTGCGTCGAAGACGACGCCGAAGACGGGTGCGTTGGATGCGTCAGGTGGCCGTTGCTGTGAGAGGGCGAGTGCGAATGGCCATGCCCGTGGCTCGACACTGGGGTTGGGACCGTCGAGGAAGAGGTGTGGTCATACGCAGCCGCAGACGTGTATGAAGTCTCAGAAGCAGTGGCGTGGGCGTGCGACGACTGAGGGACAGGAGTCTGAATCTGTTGCGAGTGCGGCGGGTAGGAGAACGCATGGTGCGCGGTCGAGCCGGATCCTCGGCCTGCGTTGGCTAGCGACTGCATCGGAGGCTGTTGCTGAGCTTGCGGCTGCGCCAACGGCTGGGGTTGCGGAGACGACGCAGACGCGTAGCGCAAGCCTGCGGCGGCGGAAGCATCACCGCGCAAGACGCGAGAGTCCACGATCGGCGCCAGAATGGGACGCTCCGAGTTGTAGCGGTTAGAAGAACCCATGGAGCCGCTCTGATACGTGGTTTGCGGCGCGTAATTGAAGTGAGTGTGGGGGAGCGTCGACTGCGGCTCGCGCGCGTGGGTGGCCGTGAGGGCAGGGAGCGTCCTGTCGTACATCTGCTGCTGCTGCTGAGGATGTTGCGATTGGACGTGCTGGACCTGCCCCGGCGGCGGCTGAGAGTACCCTGCCGACGCAAGCGAGCTGGACTCGTACGAGTTGTAGACAGGCACGACGGCAGATGGGTGCTGTTGAGGCGGAGCGGGAGTGGCCGGACTGAGCGACCCAGGTGGGGACTCGGCATAGGCACCCATTCCTGTCGGCAAGTACCCGTATCCGGGAGTGGGCGGGGTGCTCACCACGGGCGACGCGGAGTTTGTGGAAGTGGGCGAGTGTTGCCGGATTGGGTTTGATATGTGCGCTATCGAGTGTCTATGAGACGAGGTTGGTTGTTGGGAGATGGAGAGAGGGCTCGCGCTCGTGGGCCCAGCGGTGTTCGGCTGAGACTGTCTCGGCGCCGACTGGTGATAGTGGTTGAAGTACGAGACAGAATCGTGAGGGGACATCTGGACGTGTCCAGGCGCTTGGCCGTTGGCACGATGATGACTGTTGAGGCTCTCGACGGGCGAGGCCGGTTCTGGGTAATGGCCATTCGAGTTGGCCACGGGAGAAATAGGGGAGTAGCGGTCGGACTCGGAGGCCGAGTAGGACTGTTCGCCTTGGTGGTGGTACGGCCAACGAGGATCGTCTCCGGGACGCCCAAATGAAGAGGCGCGACTACCCTGAGAAGATGGTGGGTAGGGGACATCTTCATGATATGAAGCGTGAGACGAGGAAGGAGCAGAAGCCAAGGAAGGATGAGCGTATGAAACGGGCGAATAGTAGGCTGCTTCTGGCGTCGACCTGGATGATCGGCTAGCTGCGGCCGCGGAGAGGGACTGTTGGGGGTAAGCGGGCGCTGTGGGGGGCGGTAGGGTGGGATAGGCTTGCGCGAGCGGTGGGGGCGTGTCTGGAGGCTCCGGGACGCCTGCGGGTAAGGTGGGGTAAGCCTGCGCGAGAGGAGGGGGGTCGAGTGGAGGAGAGGGAACGGGAGGGGGAGGAGAGGGAGAGTCCTGCTTTGAGCGCTTCCTGGAGCGGGAGCGGTCATTGGCGCTAGCACGATTCATGGCGGCTCGGGTGGCCGAGCCTGAGTTCCTTCGGGAGCCAGGGGAAAGGTGTATGCGGTAGCTGGATAAGAGAGCACGTTAGCTAAGTTGTGCTCGCGACAGAGACGGAAGCACAAGGAAATTTTGAAGGAACGAAGGAAACGCGTCTGGGCAATGGCGGAAAAGTGAAGACGGGCGCGAAGGAGGGATGGAATGACCAATCGAAAGGAAGGAGACGTGTGGAGGGTAATCAAGAAAACGGAAACTGACTGCTGTTGCAGGTTGTCTTGGCGAGAGCATCGGGTCTCGCATCCGGGAAAGGGGCATTTGTGGTTGCGTTCGCCGGTGTGAATTCTGGTGTGCCGAGCGAGATGGCCGGAGGTGGTGAAGGCGCGTTGGCAAGTGTGGCAGACGTGTTTCTTCTTTGCGGGAAGGGAGAGGGGAGAGGGAAGGGAAGAGGGAGGAATTTCGGAATCGAAGGAGGAGTGGGAGGGATGAGGGTGGGGAGCGGAGGGAATGTCAGGGTCATTGGAAGCCAGCATCTCGTGTCGGCTAGGACGTAAAAGCTAGTGATCGCGAGGCGAGAGTTGGCGAGCGAGGGTAGCGGGCAGAAACAGGAAAGAGCAGTGGGGAGTTATAAGGGGGAGAGACGCATGCTCAGGAATGTGGTGTACGGAGGCGTCGAGAGGCGAAGGAGAGAGGAGGAGGAGGAGGAGGAGGAGGAGGAGGAGGAGGGGAGGATAGGATGTCGAGGACGAGAGCCTGTCGGGCGAACCGTCTCGCAGGCGCCGTGACTTGAAGCGGAGATTGAGGCCGCGTCTGTGGGCTGCTCGTGCCCAGAATGGCTGCGTCTGCGGGCGCCAGATCCCCCAGAAGACGCACTCAATCTAGGCGCTCATCTCCCGCCGGCAAACTCTGGTCGTCGTCCTCGCCCTCGCCGTCCCAGCCATCGCGTCCGACGTCGGAGTGTCGCCTACGCCAACCCCGCCCGACCTGCTCAGACGTCCCTGGCGCACCCTGCCGCCCCTCCCCGCCGCTTCCGTACAATCCTCGGCAATCGACGATATTAGGTCCCGCTTCTCGTCGCCACGTTTCACCCCCTATCGCGCCCGCATTTGCTCTGCCGGAAGCTGTCTCTACCGAAATGAAGGACGACCACCGATCGACGCTCCAGCTCGGCTCATCTTTCTCACCTCCCGTCCCTTCCCCGCCCCCGCCCCCCGTCCCCGCCCCCGCCGCCCCTCGTCCCGCCCTCGGTCATCCCACTCCGCTCACTCAGCCCTGCCCCGCTCTCCGACCAACACCGCCGCCCCGCCCACCGCGCCAGCGCCCCCAAGGTCGCGTCCTATAAGGCCTCGTGGTGCCTCATGCCCCTCCGCCCGTCCACTGCGTGACCGCCTAACCGCCATGCGTGCCCTGGCTATCTCCGAGAAGCTCTCTGCCGCCCAACACGCCCTCGCTCGCGAGATCCTGCCCTCCCCATTCATTGCCCGCAGCTCCCAGTCCGAGGCCCCTCAGCGGTCCTGCCCCATGTCACCTGGCCGCTCTCTCCTTCGATTCCACCTTCTCTCGCGCACCACGAGCACCGCGCTGAGCTTCTTCGAACTGCATGCTTCTAGCTACGTGCAATGTAACGTGCCTGCCTTGCGAATTGCCCCCCTTTCCTCCGCGATACGCATACGCACAGCTGCCATCGAGCCCGACGCGCGCGCATTTGGCTAGCTGCATCCATATGGGACTTTCGCGCGGGGTCCACAACTCGAGCGACTCGCATCCAAACCCGCGCGAACGTCTGGGTGGCCACCACGCAGAACGGCCCGAGCGCGTTGAGGTGCCTTCTTGGATCTGCAATATAAGTATTACAGTCTGGCCGACGTCAACTCTCGCTTCGCTTCGCCCGCGCATTCATCCCGTCAGCACGCGCGCCACAACACATTAATGAGCTGCTCAAAGCGCCTTCCATGACCAGCGTTCTCCCACGAACCTTGCCTGCTATTACGTTTCATCCCAAACACGCGAACCCGCCCCGTGCGCCCCGCACCCCTCCGCATCAGCCACCCGGGCTCGCCCGCTCTGCCCCCGCCACAAGATTTGCGCTGCTGCGCGAGCATGTCCGTCCACTCTCGGAGCGGACTGCTCCGCGATGTCTTTCACCTATACTGCGTACACCGCCCCACGTACGCGTCGTGGATGGGTCAGCGGAATGTGGCCAGCTGACGTCGGACGTCGCGTACTGTTGCAGACCGTCATTTTCGGCATTCGAAACGATACGTCGTTGGCGCGTTGCTGTGGCTACCAACCCACGCCCGCCAGTACTCGGGTCCTCGGTCAACTGCGAAGACACTACGGACGTACTTACGTGGTGCTTGCCCCCTGGCGGTAACGACTGTGATTATGGCAGCTGGAGCATCGATGGGCTTCGCGTTAGTGCCCCGTGCTTCCGCTTGGCTCGTCGCGTCCGCGCGCAACATCCCTCGTACAGCGCATTCTGTCCAAGAAGGTACCCTTCTCTCGCAACACAACCTGCCAGACTGTACGCATAAGCTGTCCCTAGCGAGGGCCCGGTGACCTCGAGCAATGACCGGATGCATCATCTTCGACCCGGCTCGCGCGCACACTCTCCTTGTGCGCGCCGCCAGGCACGCCCTGCGCACTCACCGAAGCGTGCATTGCACCCACGGCCTTCCCTCATCTCGCTCCGTTTGCGCACTGCCAACAGACATCGCGCACACGTGATGGTGGGCGTGTCGCGAACTCTCCCACCGCACCTCCTCGCGCGCCCCACGCGCCGGCTCAGCCGACGGGTCTTCCCAACGTCCACATATCACGTACCCAACGTCCACATATCACGTACCCAGAAGCGTCGTCATATGTTGAACAGCCAGCTTCCTTTGGCTGGTTACTCGCTTGCCCTGTCCCGGCGTTTCCCGAACGACGTCCACACCAGGGGAGCCACCCAGGACCGTATGTACCCCCGCCAAGTCCAGCGATCGGTGCGCGCTTCCGCCGCCCTCGCCTTCAATGTGCGTGCTGAAAGAGAGCTCATGAAGCGCACCCCGGGCTGCCTACGCGCCCCCGCTCCAGCATGCCGCCGAACATGTGCCGAATCACCTCAGTGGAGGACACCGCCCGGACTTCTCGGGTTTGCGCGCATACGCCTACTCATGCCGCGCGTTGTCATCCGCGCGTCTGGAGTACGAGCCCTTGACTGCGTGGCGTTCCTTGCAACATGCCTTGGCCACAATCTCATCGTTTCGAGCGGTCAAAGTGCGTGCTCTCGTAGCCGTTTGCCGCTGCAAGTGTATCGACGTCCTGTCGGCCCCAATCATTCGTTGTCCGCATGATTCTCATACTCATCTCGCCTCCCCGCCAATTCGGCGACCTCCTCACTCTCCTTGCACAACCTGTGTAGCCCAGGCCGATGTATCTCTCCTTCACAGCAGTCATTCACCCTCCACTTCACACTCGAAGCCCCCAGCGGCCAGCGATGCGGTGGCGCTCATGGCCACAGAGAAAAGCCGAGGAATGCGGAGCAACGGCGCTACGCCCGTCGAGAAGGGGGAGGGTTCTATGCGAGTGATGCGGTAAGTATCCGAATACGACAGATTGGGTTCCGCAGCGACTCAGTAACATTCGGTCATCCGACGCTTGCATCTACCCGGTCGAACGTACCCGCTCAATGACGGCAGGCGTTCGGATGTGTTCGATTGAAGAAAAGTCGATGAATTGCGGACGCAACCGTCCATCGGTTTTCAAAGACTTTCCCCCAGAAACATCGCATGTTTACGAATAGTTTACCTCCCCTGTACGAGTTGAGAACATTCGACGACTGTTGCGATACGGAAGGAAGGCGACCGTGCGCGACCAGGTGAAGCGGCCTTGGCCGAATTCGCAAACAAGAACAGCGCTCTGGTGAGTCGCCGGCCAGTTTAGAAGTGTTCTGTCGTTCGGGCAGTTCAACAGGCTTGATTGACATGACACTTATGGTCCACCATAGACGATTTACATTCGCCGATCAGAGACGATGCAGACATTGTTTGGGATGTTCACTCGGCTACGCCAGCAAGAACAGCAAGAAACATGCGGCTGTTTAATATCCACGATCAACGACGAACGAGTTGAGCCTTCTCGTTGTGTCATACGATGACTGCTGTTGTCCTTACAGGATACTCGAAAGTGGTCCTCCACAAGCCTTCATGTACCTACGGTATACACACATGCCCGAGTCTGCGGGAGGACATGGATGAGGAGCAGACGTTCATTATAGATTGGTCGATACATGTACGTTGCTGACAGCAATGGTATCTATGAGTATATGGCAACCGCCCCGCGGCATCAATGAAGCTGATCCTGTGAAACATCAGACTGTCGCGAAACAACCCAACCAAGCTACCGCAACTTCTGGAACCTCTCTGCCGTCCTGGTGAGTGGCCGAACAGTCGACAAGGGATGAATCAACGCATCAGCAAAGGCGTCCACTGCTTCCACGTCGGCGCGGCGCAAGTAGTCTCTGACCCGCTCTCCCTCCCACGCCGGAAACTCTTGTATCTCCTCTGCTGCCCCAGCCTCGTTTCGGATAACGCGCCACCATCGCCATGGCGCACGCTCGCCCGCATGGTCAACATCCCGATCCAGCCCAGCCCTATAAGGAGCGGCGAGCGCGACGTACTTCAACGCCGGATAGCAAAGTGCCGCACTTCGCAGGAACCGTGCTCGCGCTTCCTCGTCCACACCGTCGTCCTGCGACCGCTGGCTCGAACGCGGGGCGAGCACGGACAGACACACCAGCGGCGAGTGCGAACGAGGGTGCGCAAAGGCGTCTGTCTGTCCAAACATGTCGGAACCTCTGAATGAGAATGTGGTCTACGCGTCAGAACCGGAGGAGGCGCACCAGCTGAGACATGACTGCATTGAGGGTCACACGATCGCTTTCCAGCTCGAGCCATCGGTATCTGGCGTCGACATATGTGCCGTAGTGCCACCGCAACGGCGGCGTCTTCAGAGTGAGGCCGACCCTGGGAGCAACCAAGCAACCGACTCGATGGCAGCCCGTCTTGTCGTCCATAACGACAGTGAGCCTATTGACGGCGAATGGCAGGAAAGCGTCTTGGGGCGCATATGTGACGGAGATGTGGTGGAGTGAAGGAAAACCGACCGCGACTTTGGGGGCATTGAGCTCCCAGCGGAAGCCGCTCCGGACGAGGGTGAGAGTCGAGGCTTGGGAAAAGCGTTGGGAGAATGACAGATACGGTGTATGAGAGTTCAGTCCCAGCTAGCGTGACTGTTTGGATAGAGGACAAGGAGTGTACTGGCCTGGGTTGGCGCGTATCAAATGGGTCCGTGGCTCGAAAAGAAACATGTTGTAAAACGATAGTCTCAAGCGTATGCACGCGTGAGAGAGCCTGCGATAAGTCTGCAACCGAAAACCACCCGGAATAGCGATCGACGAGGTGCAGTTCCCGTAGGCAGCTGGAATAGATGGACGGATTCGCGATGTCTGACCATAGGGGTCTCGACAGGTACATATATGTGAGGCACGGCAGACTGCCAATAGCTTCGATGAGACGCGGTTGGTGGTGGAACCAATTCGGGATTGATGGCGATGCGCTGAAGTCGAGTCTGAGGTATCTGAGCTGTTTCGTTACCGCAACAATATCAACGATACCATCCCCAAGATCTCTGCTGAGGTTTCCAAACCGAAGTGGGTATTGATCCAAGTGGAGGGCAAAGGAGTGTAGACACGGAGCGCGGCTGCCGATATCGGAGTATAAGTAAGCTCCTAGCTTCATCACGTCCTCTGGGTTCTTGCAAACGAACTGAGCGAGATGGAGGGGCATCATAGAGTGCAAGTGTCTCGATGCCAGCGAGAGACGGAGCAACTCGCTGTAGCTAAGATAAGGGGTGATGTAGACTAGTAAGTCATCAGGAAGCGCAGGGAAGGAGCGAGCAGGATCGCGAGCGCCGTTAATGCGACTAGGACGCGCGAGAACGGTGATTGGCGTTGGAGACGGCGAAGACACGTTGAGCGACATATGCTGGACAAAGAGGTATAGGTAGGATGAGGGCGTAGGGAGAGTGGCGACGACGATCACATTGCATCCCCGGAGCCCGAATGCATCGCATCCGGCAGTCACTTGATCGACTCTGGCGCTTCTGCCAATCGGAAGCACAGCCAAGGAACGAGCCTAGTTTGGAGTTTCGCGGGAACCATCGCTTTCGTTCTCTGTTCTAGAGACAACGCCTGCAAGAACAAAAATACGGTATGGCATGGATGCCGATACCACACCGCCTCTAGATATCCCACCAAGCCTGAGGGTACAGGCTCGCAGGGCTCGTGACCTTGCGTTGTGAGTCTGCCGCGACTGTCAGTGAACCGAGTTCCGTGATGCTAAAACATGCGAGGACGTACAGGCGGTGCGTGCATGTCGACACCAAATGATCCTTGCAGCCGACGTTCAAATCGTTGAACAGAGAGATAACGGTTTGTGATATCGTCAACAGAGCACATTCGCTGAGTATCGACGATTTCAGCTACAATATGATACGCCATCCTGTACACATCATAGAGGGATCAACAATGCACAAAATACACGTACACAACAGATCGGCGGAGCAAGTACCCAACCCGCAAGGGAGATGAAGCCCTAGATAAGGCTAACGGTAGTCCGGATAAGGCCGCCACGGAAATTGCGCATGCCCGCTGTACGACGCTGCTCCCAATCGCCCTGCATCCTCGTAAACGCGTCTTGGATATGCTCGGGACGTAGCGCTGTCCTTGCCTCCGGCGGCTGCGCGAACAGCGCACATACAGGCAGAGGCTGGTCCGCGTCGTGCTCCGGGCTCTCCTCCAGACGCAAACGTTTCGCGTCGCCTGCGCCCCCGAGGTGGGCCTTGCGCTTGCCAAGGAGTGGGGAAGATCCGGAACCATGCGGCGCGTCTCGCACGTACGCATCCTCGAGGGACTTCTTAACCTCGAGGCCGGCAATGGTCAGAGCGCGGACCATCTCGAAAGCGAGGAAACCGACAATGTCGACAGTATCGTCCCCAGTCTTGAAGTCGAGTGCGGGAGGGAGGTTGAGGAATTCCTTGAAACGTTTCGCTTTGCGGTATGTGAAGGATGCTTGACGGCAGTCGGAGTAGTGCTGGTACTCTTCACGAGTCATTTGACGAGTCGCATCGTCCGCTTCCTTTAGCAGAATACGAAAGGTAAGACACGGACCCTGAAATGAAGAGGTTGGAAGAGAGGCGTACCTTTAATCGCGCGATAGATGCTTCATGTGCTTCGATGTCGTCCTCATCTTCTTCGTCATCAACAGGTAAGACATCCGCGAAGATAGTCATGATTTCCCAAGGAAGCTTGATGGTGATCTTCTGGGCCTTGGCAGTAAGCTTGTCTGCGTTGCCGAAGGAACAAAATGTGTAGCTAGACGCGGAGGACAGCTCCTGAACCACGTACCATCCGCGCCATCCTCAAGCTGTTCAACTTCAGCAGGTCCACCTTCAGAGTCCTTCGCATGCTTCCGCACGTCTTTCCACGAAAGGTATGTTCGTAGACGATTGACCTTGGCTCGGTCGTGGCGAATGAGGAAGATGAGGTCCTCCGCGGAGACGTGTCGCGCGCCACGACGGGTCGCCAACGAGCGGGCCTGAACAATCTAAAGCGGACTCAGGACAATCAAGAACCTCGCTCACAGTCACGATGAAGCCTCACGAGCTCGATGAGCTGACTGCGGACGATGTGCTCAACCAAATTGACGGTCTCGGGGTTGGGATCCTGGACCTCGCCGAACACAAACATCATCTGGGAGATTTCCTGGGAATACTTGTATTCCCTGTGGGATGAAGTCTCAGTCACGTATGTCTTCTTTGACGACGTAGCCATGTTGGTCCGCGGGTCTCAGAGGAAGCAGAGGAAGGTCGTGGTGGTGTGGAACGGGAGGCGAAGCGCCCTCTTGTACTGTATTCAAACCATCGTCTCCTCCTTTGTACGTCTCGGACGGAGACCTCGTCATTTCTTTGGCCAAGTCTTCTCACAAGGCTCACTAAAAGATGGATGTTTGTTCGACTTGAGGATACTGGGCGGCCTGACGTACTCTACCAGCTTCTGGTTGGACGAGCTGCGAGTAACTTTCATCTAGCTGGTAGCCTGCCTATCGCAAGGTGCCAACACGTCGTACCATCGTCGCACAGTTACGATGCAGCGAGCAAGTATGAAGGTTTTCGCTGTCGCGTTTTGTCCTACCGTATCGTCGAACACCATCTACCCGGAACCATGTCTGTTGAAACCCCACTCGAGGCCGTCCACGCCTTCTGTTGTGCCATTACAGCCGGTTTCAGCTCGCTTGTCGTGAGAGCGCCGCGCCGCGTCTCGCGCATTTGCCTGTTTTCCCCTCCTAAGCGCCCCCAAAGGAACTTCGGACGACGATATCTCCTCGACAGCTCAATGTAACCACTTCATTCTTGCGTATTCTGGCTCAGGATTACGACGCGCAGGGCACGGTATTGTATTGAAGTTGCGACAACTCGACGTCACCAACTTCTGGGCATTCCCGCTCTCCCAGCTCCCTACTCGACTCGGACAGCGTTGTTGGCTGAATGGTATGGCGTACTCTCCCGGAAATTGTCGGAATGGTGAAGACAAGACGCTACCGAGGGCTCTGTGTCAAAAGGCGGAGTGTCCAGCGACAATCACGTCCACCATAGGGTGGGCTCGGGTGGCAGCCCTCTTGGGCCAGCTCAAAGTCCTCGTCGGGGAGCACCAGACACCATGACTATGTGAGTAATCCGCACCTCCATGATCCCTGTGGTCTTGCAAGGCATTAGGGGCCATGTAGTCACTGCTGAGTAGGAGGGAGGAACAGACGAGGTGGGTAGATTGGAGCTGCAAAGGAGAGCTTGTAGAACACTACAATTGGCAACCCGCACGATTACATGGGTTTGTAGGCTTACAGTGGACATATGTGACATGTTTCGTAGCAAAGATGTGTTGGATTTGA